CTTTACCCCGATTGAAACTGCCCAAACTAATCAAAAGATTTCGTTTGCTGCCCAGCAACTTGGAGACACGAAGCAGAACCAAAACCAAAAAGTACTATCTTCTTGGTTCTTTCGGTAAAGTCACGTAGAATGGAAATAATAAAATAAATAAAATAAAACTCTGTCTACTCGACAGACCTGCTCTCCACCTGAGGACGGCTGCTTGCGTTGTGGCCGAAAAGTCGTGAGAATTATTTTATCATGTTTTATTTTTATTATTGTATTATTTCCATTCTACGTGACTTTACCGAAAGAACCAAGAAGATGAATCCCTGCAGTCACGAAAGCTTTAAATCGAAACAAAAAGTACTATTTCAAATATGAAAACGCATCTGCCCTAGGAGATACCTTTCAGCTTCCATACCGTTAATAAAATACTCCCGAGGACAAAACACACGTTGGAAGGCGGCGGGTTGCGTAATCCATGTTGCTCGCATGCTTCTTGTCGGAAGAGAATTTATTTTGTTGTTGTCTCTACAACGCTGCATTCTGACCCACTGCCCTTTTGGCGTCATCATCTTTTACGTGCGTTCTGTACAGCGCTTTGAGATGCGGATGCATTGACGTGTGAATGCAAATATTTAACCTCAACCTATGTTAAAGATGTCCATGACACTTATCTGTCAAAGAGCACATGGTATACAGAGCAATGTTTGTAATCTGCAAAGCTATTACTGGTGACTCCTATTATCCGTGGGAGTTTTACGGTCTAAACCCCTATTACCTATGCCCCTAGTCTTCTCATTGTCTGCGATTCTCCAAGGATTTCTTTCCCCATGGGTAGTGGAGTCAGTTCGTGAATTGCCTCATGGGACAATAAGATTTGCGATGTTCATGCCCCACGTCACCAGATAGTTTTACCGTAATGGGTGAGTTCCTTTTTGTAGACTGAGGATGTTACATTCATATAATTCTTCAAAAATGCAACATTGCAGCACAAGAAAATATGCCAAGAGGCAGACAGTGACCGGTACGGTAGAAACCAACAACAACACGTGAAAGCCAAACACACTGGCTTCACCGACTCCAGTAACACAATATAATATATATTTAATATAATGAATTGTAACTTTTTTGCAAGTGTATGCATCCTACAAAGTTGTCTGCTTGCGCTAAAAAAAATCTTGTAATGTTACGCTTAGTTTAAATCAGGGATGGGGAACCGTTTTTCTGCCAAGGGCCATTTGGATATGTATAACATCATTCGCTGGCCATACACAATTATCAACTTAAAAATTATCCTGTTATATTTGGTCAAACATTTAATTAACTCACCCCTAATGTGATGGCTGGAACTGCTTCTCTTTGGTGAGGCGTGTGATGTTAGCTGCTATTGATGATGTTGCTGCTACTCGGAACTGCTTTTCCAGGTTTGCTCCTGGATTTATTGAATTTCGAGTCCCGCCTGCGGTTGCCTTGGCAGGGCCACACCAAATGATTTCTCGGGCCTTATACGGCCCGCGGGCCAGACGTTCCCCACCCCTGGTTTAAATGCACTGCGTGTACTGCATTGAACGTAAAACCTGTCGCATATGAATGATATGCATTGATGCTTAAATAAGACATTTATATTTTAGTAGTTCACGTTGGCATTGCAGACTCTATTAATTAATTGCTGTTATTGGCCACCAATAGCTGCTGATTCTAAATACCCCTTCGACGTATAAATACCTTCAAAAGTGTATTTCTAAGTCAGCAAAAAGGGGAAATTATGAGCATAAGATCAGTCGTCCCATCATGCATTGCATCTCACGTGACACCAACCGAAATCCGCGTGTCAACGCAAAACAGCCTTGCTTTAACCAAATATTTAATACGAGCTCAAAAAGCCTGTCTTCGCCAGGCAAAAGTTTTCAATGAATATAATAATTAACCCGATTTCATTTCTTTACAATCTTTATCTACGATCAGACACGAACAACGACTCCAAAAATTTGTATTTTTCGACAAAAAAAACCTAAAATTGTTGACGTACCCATCAGAAACCGCTCAATTTAAAGATCCCGTTTTTTATTAGAACAGAACATTAATAACTTCATACTCTGTGAGGGAAAGCTCATATTTGACCGTTTTCGAATTATTCGGGATTTGAACGTCATAAAATTCGTACTTTTTTTCTTTCAAAACCGCTTTAATCCGAAATATCTCAAAAAAAATAAAATATGAAACAATGGTTCTCCTTTTGATTTGATTTGCTGTTTAAGGCTCTATCAAATGAAAACACCGCAATATTATATTTTGAACGGTTTCTGAATGACATCAGGCACATTTGTATGCGGCACCTAAAATCGAGATTTGAGGGCCTGAAAATGAAAAATCTCCGTTTTTCAGATGTTTCCTGTTGTTTGTGTCCTTAAAGCTACGTAGCAAAATTTCAGATTTCTACATTGTTGGGAAGTACCCAAGAGGTTTTCAAACATACACACATGCAGATTAAGGTCTTTATTTGAATAGATATAATCTCGCTTCTCTGAAATACAGGCATCGGTACTCCTAATCCCTCTGTATGAGTTTACTAGTAATATGCATGGGGGGAAATGACAAGCGAACCATGATATTTTTCCACTTTTGTACGAGCCTGCTTAAATCACTCAGTGCTAATAGATAGAATGGAACCGTGGTAATAAATTACATGCACATTTATTACACTTCATCTAATCTCACCCTCCCACCTGGTTGCTCAATTACAATAACCCCCCCCCCCCCCCCAGCGGATATATGCCGAGCGGCCTGACCAAATATTTGGGGCATTTAAAAGGCCGTTCCTTAAAAACCCATTCTCTTTCTTCCCTGAATGAAACCCGTCCCTGCCAACATGAGATTTCACACGACAGACGCTGTGAAACTTCAGACAGGCCCCGTAGAACACTTTGCTACCTCTTGAACATTAAATTAGCTACAGAATATATTTTTCGATACTTATCAATATCGCTGTTCAAAAACGGATGCATATATTGATGGCCATTTTCACATCGATGGTTACTTTTTTTTCCAGCCTTAAAATTTTGAATGGCCTATGAGAGCAGCCATTAACGAACCGGTGTAGATGAAGTGTAGACGGTACCGTCTTTTTGCTGTGGCCTGAACTCACGCCGTATGGATAGACCGTCCACAGAGAGTTGCACTTAACCTTGCTAATGATTCAATCAGATGCTGCGTGACAAATCCAGTTAATAATGAAACATGATGGCATCCACTTGAATTTTTGATGGGAAATTATTCGTGAAAAAATAACAATAGCCAAACCAATGCAATGAATACGTTCATCTGCAGATTGGCTATTTTAAATGCCCATTTGGATAAACATATGCCTGCTTGGCTAGAGAGCATTCCCTTTGCGCCAGAATGGTGTGATAAGGATCGATAATGTTGTTGAGTGCTCGATTAATCAGCTTTTGTCGAGTGGAAATTAAAAAGGAGTATAAAAAACCCCCAATGGATTATGTTGATCTGCAATGTGTTTCAGGTCGTATACAACATCTTTGCTCGGCTGCTTCGGGAAATGAATTCCCAGCACGCGGAGCGAGACGTCGGCAATCGTGTCGAAACAACACGCGGTACGACCCGAAAACGCGTCGGAGGGAGCTGCCCATCACAACCGTAAACACCGAAGCTTATCTTGTCAGAACATCCATCATCGTCGTCACCTCCTTTACTTAAAATACACTCCCATATATATGCTTATAAAAATCACATTTCGCCAACGCATCTTCTACCAAACCATCCTACGGCAGCAATCGCCCTCTCAATTTCAAAGTTGAACTTCCATATATATATATTTATTTACATCATTGAATACAGTTCTTCTTGTATGCACATCAATGCAGGTATCCCTCGATTTACAAACGTTCGGTTGATGAAATTTCGCACTTGACAAACTGTGGACACCATTGGAACCTCATTTGCCAGTAAAAATATGATAATTGGTTTTTTACCCTTCTATCTGGCAACAAAACTGACACCTTTTTACAAGGAGTCATGTTTGCATAGACCACAATACCTGCAGTCATAATGCGCCTTTTGGCGTCATCTGGTCCAACACCATGTGAGACTAGGCTCTAAGGAAAGCTGTCTCGGGTGTGGACCAATCAACTTCAAGGACAGTGCACATTATCAAAGTTGTATTTTTTGTTTGCATTATGGCTGCAGGTATTGTGGTCTATGCAAACATGACTCCTTGTAAAAAGGTGTCAGTTTTGTTGCCAGATAGAAGGGTAAAAAACCAATTATCATATTTTTACTGGCAAATGAGGTTCCCATAGTGTAGATGCTTGCCCCGAGCTCACATATTCTGATGGTGCATTGTCTTTGTTGTGCGCCTTTTGGCGTCATCTGGTCCAACCCATGTGAGACTAGGCTCTAAGGAAAGCTGTCTCGGGTGTGGACCAATCAACTTCAAGGACAGTGCATACATTATCAGAGTTATGTTTTTGTTTGCATTATGACTGCAGGTATTGTGGTCTATGCAAACATGACTCCTTGTAAAAAGGTGTCAGTTTTGTTGCCAGATAGAAGGGTAAAAAAACAATTATCAAACTGTGAACACTTTTCGATCGACGCAATCGAATTTCCGCGTGAAAGGAAATTCCACACGGCGCGTGCCGTGAGATAAAACAAGGAGCACCTGGGAGGTTGCATCGTCCATCCGCGACAGCGTCGTAACGCCTCGACACCACCTTCCCATTCTAGATTTGAAGCTTTCGTGACTGCAATGATTCATATTCTTAGGTTTTTTTCGGTAAAGTCACGTAGGTAAAAACATTAAAAAGTAAAATAAAAATCACGACGTTTCGGAGGCAACACAAGCTTCCGTCTTCAGGTGGTGCCGTCACAGCCACGACAGCTGTATCAAGTACTTGTCGTGGCTGTGACGGTACCACCTGAAGACGGAAGCTTGTGTTGCCTCCGAAACGTCGTGATTTTTATTTTATTTTACTTTTTAATGTTTTTACCTACGTGACTTTACAGAAAAAACCTAAGAATATGAACAACCTTCCCAGTCAATTCCAAAATGCAGATCTGTTGGTGCTTTCCCCGAAAGGTTAATTATTTTAGTTTAAAATGAATTATCATTCAATAGTTTTCATACGTGTGTTCATTGTTGTTAATCAGTGTACTGTGGAAAGTGATATAGGTGTTTATTTTAGGTTAGGAAGAAGAGTTGGAATGACTGTCCGAAACGCATCCCTAATTTTAAGCATGATATGAATGGGAAAAGCCATTGCGATTTGCGAAATTTCGTTTAACGCCGTGTTTATTGAAGAACGCATCTTTTTAGTAAAACGAGGGATGCCTGTAATGACAGACTGTAATATATATATAAACAAACACTCTAGCGTGGAAAATTTGCAAAAACTAAATTGCAGTGTATATTGCACTGAAAATTACCACACTAATGAAGGCAGCCTAACGTTCAGATTTCAAATCTGTATTTGTACTGGAGGAATAAGCTATAAAGCTCTTTTTTTTTACACAGACGTACAGCAGGGTCGGGTCAGAAAGTTCTACAAAGTCGCTTAGTGATGCCGCAACACAGAAAACCAGCTCGGCGAGAGAGCCAGGGAGGGACGGCTCCAGGGGAACGGGGCAGGGCGGCGAGTCAGCAACTTGCAAACTTAGATGAACACCGCACGCACCGCGGGCGAGCGAGCGTGCGTGCGAGCGTGCCACGCGCGTGCCACACGCGTGCTGGCTACAGGGTGGTGGTGTGCGACGTGCACATGCCGTTGCCGAACACCGTGTGCAACGGCGCCGCCGCGCAGTTATCCGCGGCGGCCACGGGGGTCACCCCCACCGTGCTGGAGTTCCCGCTGGCCGTGCCGCCCACGTCCGCGCGCGCCCTACCGCCGCCCCCTCCCTGTTCCGTGCTGCTCCCGGCCAGGCGGGCGGCCATGAGCGCCGCCGTGGCGGCGTTCGCCCCGGGGTTGCTGCTGCTGTTGTTGTTGTGTTGGCGGTGGTGGTGCGCCCCTCCCGCCGCCGCCGGCTGCGCGGGCAGCTGCTGCCCTCCCAGCGGGCGACTGCGTGGCGCCGTGGCGCGGTAGTCCATGGGCTCCTCGGCCGTGCCTTCCACCCAGCGCAGGCACAGGATGCGCTGGAAGAGCCTCTTGAAGTTGTCCGACAGGAAGCCGTAGAGGATGGGGTTGGCGCAGCTGTTGGCGTAGCTGAGGATGACGAAGAAGTTGGTGAGGCGCGGGTCGAGGGCGCGGCTGAACACGTTGACGAGCTGCATGATGTAGAAGGGCATCCAGCAGACGACGAACACCGCCACCACCATCATGACCATGCGGGTGATCTTGAGCTCGGAGCGCCGCCGCTGCTGCCAGCCCGCCTTGAGGGCGACGACGCGCATCTTGACGATGATGAGCAGGTAGCAGAGGCAGATGGCCACCACGGGCACGAGGAAGCCCACCATGAACGTGTAGACGACGAACGCCGACGACCACGTCTCGTTGGGCCAGATGAGGTTGCATATCACGAGGTCCTCGCGGATGAAGTCCGTGTCGGCGTAGATGATGATGGGCATGATGACGGTCAGCGAGAAGACCCACACGCCGAGGTTGATCAGCTTGGCCACGGTGGGTCGCCTGCAATAATCGTTGGACACGAGAAGGACAACGTCAGACTGCGGTGAAGCGAACGTGCTTCCAGTCAGGGAAATCCATCGACCACACTGCACTCCACCAGCCCGCCACCCACAGCCACTGGCGGGGCCCTCATTTCGATCGGATCATTGGGGTTTATTAGTAATAAATCGGCATTTTGCGACCCCCCACTGCCACTGTGTAGCATATTATTACGTGCCAGGGACTCTATGAGATGATAGGACAATAGTCCATAATTGGAAATAAGTAACGGCAAAGCAGTTATAAGTACACGACTTCCCTGAAGGCAAACACCTTCAGCGAGCGCGATCCCGATCACACAACGCGGTTCGAATTCGACCCTCGATCGATGGTTGCGCCATCGCCGCACACGCGTCGATTAAAAAGCAAGGGACAAGTCCTCACTAACAACTCCTCTAATTCAGTGGCGGCTCGTCAATAGAGGGCGCAGGGGCGCCGCCCCCATCAATATTCAAGAAATATACATATGCAAAATTTATATAAAAATACATAAATAAAATATTTTTTTCATACGATGTGCCGGCTGGTAGTAAGAAAAGCATCAGCATTTAATAAAAACTGGCTTTAATCGGTCAACTATTTTCTATGTTTTTCAATGTGTTTCATGCGGGGCGCCGGACAAATGGATGTCTATGTGAGACTTTACATTTTCGGACAGCATGTGACCTGAAGCTGGTCTCTAATTGGTTTCTTAAAGATTCTCCTCGGGGCGCAAGTCGTTGCGTCCCTGGCCAATCAGAATTGGATACATGTTATTTTATCCAATCTGATTGGTTCTCGTCACCTGTCATTCAAATTTACGCTGTAGGCCACTACTGCGAGTGCGAAGGCGACACCACTTTGACACTTGCTAGGCTGATCAAATTTTTGTGTAAACAATGGCAGCAGTTCATCCAAATTCTGTAATTTATTTACTAAAAAACCCTTTCACAAGGCTTTCGCTGGAAGAAATAAAAAAGATAAAGGATCTCGGACCGGACCAACCCGATTTACAAATCCAGCAGCAGGCCAGTGACAAAGGACGAAGCTACACACGAAGCTTCACCCGCGCTTGTTATGAGAAACGGAGGTGGCTGGCTGGATGTGATGTTAGCAATTCTCTTTTTTGTTTTCCCTGTCTTTTATTTCAAAGTGTCGGCACTGAAGTTTTGTGGACAACGACGGGGGTAAGAGACCTCAAACATCTCTCTGACAAATGCAAACGTCATGAAAGTAGCCGCAGCCATATTGATAATAGCATGAAACTAACGTTTTTATGTTCAAGTAGGAAACATGCTTTTTGGTACTTTGGTCTGAAATGTATATAAAAGAGAAACATTTATGTTCAAGTAGGAAACATGCTTTTTGGTACTTTGGTCTGAAATGTATATAAAAGAGAAACATTTATGTTCAAGTAGGAAACATGCTTTTTGGTACTTCTTTTGGTCTGAAATGTAAATAAAGATCATCAAAATTTATATTCAAGTAGTCAAAATGGTTTTTGGTACTGCTTTATATTTATTTGCCCCCCTCAATAAAATAAAAAAAATGCGCCCCCCCAAAAATAAATATCACCAGCCGCCACTGTCCTCTATCATGTTTCATTGCTGGAAGGGTTGCCCCCCCCCCCTACCTGAAAATCCTGACTCCGCCATTGCCCACAGCCAACCACCATCACGCGCGCAGTCGGATTGCCACTTGTCCTGGGCGTCCCAAGAATCATCCTCTTTCCGAGAACTTTTCTCAGAACATCTGTAAGCCATCCGGGATGCTGCAAGTCCCGGTTTGTTTTTATCAGTGATGAAATAACACACCACTCCCGTCAATGCATTTACTCGTAAGGTAATTCTCGCTCTTGGTGTTGTGCGATATTTCCCTTCGCTTGACGCGTCCCAGCTTTTTTTGTTGTACCGCGGGAGGTGGTAATTCTCGCTATCACTCACCTCCACCAGCGAAAATCCACCCTCAAATAGCCTTCACAGCACCCCTCCAACACACCCCATTAGCAGGACTCCCCTCCCTATCGCTCACCCGGCCCCGGCCCACTGTCACTCAGATGTCTCACACGCAAAACACGAACCATTCATTTCTCATGTAATTCTTCCCAGCACCGTGTTGCTCATGTTTAATAAATAAAGTGGTACAAAGTCAGGGCAATCCTTGGCATTTGTGGTCACGGTTGTTTCTATTGAACATGTCATCCATTTCATTATCACCTTTTTGCACACGGAGCAATGTGGGTTTTTTTTCTCAGTAAAAAAATAAATACTCCTGTGCCTGCTAATGCATGCGGTAATGGGTGAGCAATTCCCACTCGGCGGATGGGTATGTTTAGTGGGTCAACGCACAAGACATTGGGTGATAACCAAATCACAGCTCTGAAAGCCACTCAGCAGGTGATAATAATGCATCATTAAGGCGCTTCCACACTACGCTCGTAATCGAGGTTTGTTTTTCTGCCATCGGCTCGAATATTTTAAGTACAACAGGGCTTCAATAATCCACGGGGCTGCAGGAAGCCGCTGATCACTGGCAGTTAACGAATCCTTCCTGGACTAACCAGGACCGTTGATCCAGAAACACGCGGAAAAAAATATCACGGACATCGAGACCCGCTTACGGGAGCAGCCCATTCCGCTCGCAATCCGCGGTGCACCGGCTGCATCGGCTGCGTCCGCGGATTAACCTGCGAGCAGCGCCGAACCTCTTTGTTAATTCGCAAAAGAAATATTTGTTTTGGGTTCAACGGAGGCGGCCAGCTCCTTCCTCAAAATCCACAGCGCACCGCGGCGGATGGGAAACCGCGATGAGCTACAGGAGCGGGGAGCTACAGGGAAAACGCGGAGGTAGGAGGTTGTTTTTTTTTAAATCCTTTATATTAAGTTCACTTGCTTGCTTGCTTGCGCGCTTACGACCGTGCAAATCTTTCGGTCGTTTTATAACCCACTTCCCGTGATCCAATCGAGCTGATATTTTGCACACAGACTCGTTGTGCGTGACAATTAATGTTCGTGAAAAAACATTTCCATAACTTTACACTTTTTAGGAAAAAAAAATTATATTTAATCACCAATTGCTTAATGGTGGCAGGCAATCATCTGACCCATAGGTGGCAGCCATCTCAAGCCAGAGGACGAAAGGACTCTAGCCGCCACGCATATAAAGGATTTATAGTGAAAAACTTTATTTTTACGGGTTAAATTTTTAGCTGTGCTCCTGCAGCTCAACGTTGGCCGTGCCCAACTTCTCCGAATGTCAGTTTGCGATCCGCAATGCATCATTTCTTTAGACTAGCTGTGCCAACGTAATTCCTTGAGTACATTTTTTTTAATCCATAAAAAGGTTTTTTTGGGTTAGATCGCGTAAATATAAATGTGTCGTTAAACCCGCCACCACCCAGCATCAGCCAATTAGTGAGGTTTGTCTCGTAAACAAAACATGCAAATTCATTACGAGAACAGCACACCGATGTGTTGGAGAGTAAACCCACAACATTTAGAATTCGAGTATGACGTTTCGCCAGTCATTACAAGCAGCATCATCAGGCGACAGCCAGATTTTCATTCTTAAATAGCGGGATAAGTGTGATGACACATTTATATTTACGTGATCTAACCCATAAAAACCTCTATGACATTACCTATTATAATCACCCAGAAATGTCTGTCCGTCCCGCGTGTGACGTCACTCCACATGATGCCCCCCTCCCCCACGTGACGTCACTCCACATGAAACCCACCCCCCCCGTGACGTCACTCCACATGAAACCCACCCCCCTCATTAATATTCACGAGTGGGTGGATTTTTACACTAACGCAGAGGAAGGTCGAGCTGAATTAAATAATTTATTATGCAAAGTCACTTATGACGTTTCTTTACAGAAAGTGACAGTACAAAATAAATCTACGCAGCGCAATGCTACATCCGTGCGTGACGTCACTGCAAAAGAGCCCCTCCCCCTTACTTAACATTCATGCCCGCGTGGAAATTTACACGAACGCGCAAGAAGGTCGAGCACTCCACATGCCGCACCCCTCCCCAATAACCATTCGGAGGTGACGTCACTCCACATGCCGCACCCCACCCCTCCCCAATAACCATTCGAAGGTGACGTCACTCCACATGGGGCAACCCCCCCCCTCATTAATAATCATGAGCAGGTGACGTCACTCCAGATGCTGCACCCCTCCACAATAACCATTAGCGGGTGACGTCACTCCACATGGACCAACCCCCCCCCCCCCCCATCATGAATAATGAGCTGAACAATTTTTCCATTGAATATTTCAGATTTGCTGCAACATACACCCGTCCTTGGACGGGTAAAAAAGCTAGTGGACAATATTCGTCGTGAAAGCCTACGTGTTAAACAGAAAATAAATTAACATTTATTTAGACTCCGATATCAAGTTTTTAAAAATGCAACAAAATGTTGTTTTTAACCATCACTCACATGGTAAACTTGTACCATTTGGGTCTTAGGAAAACATTGCCACCTCATTATCCGTGATTTTTTTTTGCTGATTAATGTAATCGCATGGCTAATTCCTCCTATAATCTGTGACACACCCCACCAAATTATTGGGACAGACATCTGCGGTGCAATATCCATGGGGCCTCCATGTTCACGGTGGATTATCGGAGACTAGCTATTCACATTTTTTGAAGACCTTTAACTTTGGCGTTCCCCATTGCAGAAGTTGACACCATGCATTCATTTCAGGTACCTAGGAGTGGCCGAATATATAAATGTATGAGCTGGAATTACACTTTAGAATGCCAAGAATTGTCATGCAGTGCATGAGTCACGATGGCACTGTGGAATATTAAAAAAAGAACAGTAAAACCGCACAGAAATGTATGAACCGGCCTCAAGCTCAACTGAGGAAGAACCCGCATTAGACTATGCCCACCCACGTGAAATAATGGACAATTTAGCAGAACAAATGACTGCGTGCAAAATTGATTCGGATAATATTTTT